CCCCCACCCAAGTTCTCATTCTGCACCACTGTTGACCTCTCCTGGGCTGACACTGGGGCATGGGAACGCCACGCCCCACTGCCAGCCTGCCCACCTCATTGGTTCTTCCCTTGCACTTGGATGGAGCTGCAAGAACAGCCAGAGTTGGGAACTCACACAATCATTGACTCTAGAGGCCTTGCCATTAAAAACAAAAATAAACTCTGCTATTGAGTCCATAGGACACATTAACACTTCTACAGTTTCCAATTTTGTGATGTTTTTAGAGACATCCAGAAATTCTTTACAGTGTGGGACTGCCTGCCTTCAGCCTGAGAGGGGCTGGATCAAAACTGGCAAGAGCTCTGGCCGCCACTTAATAAGAGCTTCGGTTCCGAAGGCATTCCTAACTTTTTTTTTTTTTTTACACTCAGAGGGAACCACAAGTATGAGGGTCAGCTAGATTGAGGTAAAATTCTAATTTTTTAGGGCCAAGGTGCATTCATCTAGGCTGGCTACAGCAGAAAGTAAACATGCCAGCCATCTACAAAGGGTTCCTGGAACAGAATTCATGAACTATTTGCCCGGGGAGGGAAGCAGGCCTGGAAAGTTCCTGTTTGGAGATGGTGGGTTTGATTTGGCAGCATCTAGTAAATTTCTACTTGTATCTTATTTTCTTCCCTTTAGAATGTTTCGATTTAAAGTAAGATGCAACTGAGAAACTCGTCTACTTCCAAGATGTAAATAAATGAAAGGCAAAGGGATATTTCCCTCACAACAGCCACTGTCTTATGCAGCAGGGAATGCTTTAATAAAAACTCCCTCATATACCAACTTCTCAACAGCATCTAGTGCTGCTGCCTCTGGGTACCAGAAGTGTCTGTGACTGCTGTGGGTACCTTCACGAGTGTGGGACTCAGTGGGGACTCTGATATTGGTTTCTATTCCAACTCATTTTAAATGATTTTATTAATTTGATATACGGGTGCTTAGCTAAGTTAAGTACTTGTTTGACACAGTCCTTAATCTGCTTAATAATCCTTATAACATTTGATATAAAACTATTTTTAAAAATTAAATTTGAAGATCTTTTAATTTTCCATTAAATGTTTATTTTTATTAATAACTTCCCCCTGGACAGCCTGAGGGATGAAGTAGATGCTCTATTAGTTCTTCTCCATCTCCTAAGTTCTCTTTTTCTAGAATAATAAATATAGAATTCAATGAAAGATGAGGCACGATTTATATTTTCCTTTCCTTTTTACTCTCATGTTTTTTAGTTAATGGGCTTTTCTATCACCACAAAAAGTCATCACCAGTCATGCTGACTTAAAATGTAGATCTAGAGATTATAACTTCACAACAGAGCCTCTGGCAGTATGGGCGGCTGTGACACTTTAAAACAGTGTCCAGGAGACGATGAGCCCGGGGCAAAGCTTGTACAAAGAAGCCTGCAGTAGACAATATAAACCAAACAGCATAAAAAATGCCATACGCTATCGCTTCCAAATAAAAGCTAAATATTACAGAAACCTCACAGTGTTGGGTAAAGCAAGTTTAATTTAAAACACAGTCACTCCCCTTTCCCTATCAAGGTGAGCCATTTTCTGTCTGAATTTTCTCCATGTCTCAGTGCTGTCTGGCAGGTCCTATGGGAAAGTTCATATCAAAAGAGGTCAACAGCAAATGCTACAGATCTGCTCAGGAAATGTGGCTCATCAACATCGCTAAAGCTACTACCACCCTCATTCTTTAGCCTCTCTTTCCCCACTTCCCTCCCCTCCCCAAACTCCCTTCCACATCTACTCCCTTTTCAAGTGACAACTGTACTTCTACCTGAATTCAAATATTATGATACACTCAGTCATAAGATGAGCATTCATAGTGACAGGCTGAGACTCACTGCAGCAACCACCACAATGAGAGTTACGGTTTGCCGTCCCACTTTCACTGGTGAGTCTAAGCGAAGGATTGTGAAGGTGCCTGATGGGAAGGAGGGTTTCCACCTGGGCAATTTCATTCCATTGAGAAACTGATCCAATTGAAAAAGATATTTTACTGGCACTGGGGTAAAGGACATAGCACTCTTGCTTTTGTCTTGGATTTTTTTTCTCTGAGTGTGGGTGAGAAACAGATTATCAGACTTGGGAGGAAACAGGTCAGGACGATCAGCAATAAACTATTAGGACATGTAGGGGACAGATTCCTAAGTAATTCCCATGCCCAAGGAAAGCAAAAGCTCCCAAGCCTGGTGATGAACACAAATGTTCTAGCTCTCCAGATACAGGAAAGAAGCTGCAGGCTACCCTATGGTGACAATGGTGACGGGCAGCCAGATAAGCCCTGGACTGTCAGCTATCCATGCCCACACCCAACTGACCCAATTTAAACCAAACCATGTACTTGGCCTAGACCTGAACCAGGGATTTGTTTCAGAACCAGGATAGGTGCCAGGAGTGCCCGCTGGCCCAGCATGCAACAAATAACATACACTAGTCTGTTGCTTCCCCATATGAACTGCCCCTTTAGAATGAAGGGATGTTCATACTAGTCTTAGAAGTATGGAATGATTAAATGACAGCAGCAGCCAGGGAGGGCATGGCACTTGAAAAACCTCCCATTTTGCATGGGGAAATTTGCTCCATGTATCTCACTCCACTCTTTGACTGTTATCGCTTTAAAAAGGAAGCTTGCAAGTTTTCAACCCTTGAGAAATAGGAATAGAAAATATTCCTCTGTGGGAATAAATCCTTAGACTTCACCTCTTCCTACTGAACCAATCCTATCCAACATGCTGCCAGCCCAGGGCCCCTCCTCATGTGCTCTGTCCAGGGCTGCTCACATCGAGAGGGTTCTTCTGGTGCTGCCAGGAGGCCCCTGATTAGCAGGGGAGTCACATAATAGAGAGAAAACATGGCTTCTCTCCTGGCAGAGTAACACCTATTTACACCCTCTTTCCTCTCCACCCAGGTCCCTCTATATTCAGAATCTTCATAGAAGTTACTCCTTTTGATTTGTTTTATGAAAGGAGAGGATTTCCAAATCCATTCAAAAAGAAAGTGACTATGAATTTTACAATAGGGCAAAAGTCACCTGGCACCTTCTACTCTGACCCAGTGAGCCAAACCTAGTACTCTGTTCCTGCAGTCAGCCTTATTCCTACAAGAGTAAAGATGTGTGAACACCAATAGTTTAAAAACAAGCCAGTCCTTGATACATGCCTCCCACTCAGGGGAATGTCCGTGGTTTGCCCTCATCGTTGTTGCTGGGCTGCACCTGAGCTTGGAGTTGGGTTTCTGAGATTCTTGCATTGCCCTGCACTGTTCTTTGAGTGTAAAAAAGGATGTAGGCCTGGGTTTTGCACACTTCCTCGACACTGCATACATTCAGCTTTGAGTCATTGCAGTGGACCCAAAAACCTAGGAAACCAAAGGAGAGAAAGAGAAAATGACTACCCAACTTTTGTATTTTCCATCAGCAGGCAAAACCAGGAGCTGAAGAAAGGGGCAAAGGAGTTCTGAACATAGCCAACCCTTGATTATTTGTGTTGGGGGAAGAGACAAGTAAATGGAACTAACAGAGAGTCTATAAGACACTTCTGTAACCACTAGTTTCAACCGCCTTCCCACAAAATCCCACTACAATACTGCTTACTGGAATTTGGGTCCTCGTTTTACTCAGGCTTCTTCGTTGCCCATTGAGGCCTTCTACAAAGAGAGCCAGGAGAATGGGGGCTATGATGGGAAGAGAAGAAGGAGAGGGGAAATGGAAATAGAGGGGAGTGATAAAGGAAAATTTAGAAGGAACAAAAAATTATTTGCTTACAGGCTCCAGGTGCCCTAAGGGCTGAGATTTAAGATGTGCACACTGCTGACAACGCATATACAGCCCGTCTGCCTCTGGGCAGCAGCTGGGAGGTTCTCCTCTGGAGCATGAGGACTAGAAGCTGCTTGGGAGGGGTCTCTGTAGCCCCACACCTCCTGCGGTGCCCAGGACATAGTAAGTGTTCCGTCAATGTCCTCACCTTTATTACGAACTCAGGCTAATAAAATTCATATAATATCTCCCTGAGATTAAATAGATACTATTGTTTCCGCATCACCAGGAAGGAAGCAGAGGTCTGCAGAAGCAGCATTAATAGCAATAACCTCCAAAACTGACTGAGCAAGCACTATGTGCTAGGTACTCTTCAAGTACTTTCACGTCAGTTCCCTTAATTCCCTGTGTTGTTACTTAGAAAGTGATATAACCAAAGTTTGCATCCAAGTTTCATAATTCTTTCCACTGGATTTTAATGTATGTAATTTTCCATAGATGACCATGGGATTGAAATAAAAGGAAGGCAATAAAATGTGGACAAACCAACCCTTCCGTGTCCCCCACCCCACAGAGTAAAGCGCACGCACCTCCCTCTGTGTTGTAGCAATAGGCTGTGTAGTGTCCTGAGCCAAACCCTTTCCCGTGGTGCATGACCACTGCGGAGAGATCATAGGCAAAGGTCTCTTTGTCAAGAGAGGAGAGCATGTCCCTGCAGCAGTAAGGTTCCATGGTTAATACCTGGTCAAAGACGACATGGACCCCAATCTTCTCTCGATGATTACGGCCAGACCACCTAGGACACGGATATAAACTTCTTACTAGTAAAAACTGGCATATGTGACCATAGGTAGAGACAGGTAAAACAGGGAACTGAGTTAACTTTCTGGCTTCGGTTTTCCCATCTATAAAATGGTGGTAATCGCTGTCCACAGATATTTGCTGTAAATGTTCCACAATATACTCTGAAGCTAGAAATTCCTAAGCAAGCAATTCAGTTAATAATTTTCTTATAGTTTACTGCTTGCCCTTCTTTTCCCAGATTATCTTCTACTTTATCCTGAAGATGAAGTTATGTAAGCCCAAGCGAGGCTAGAAAGTCTTCTTGCACATTCAGTTCAGGCTAGCCAAGTAGGAAGAGACATGAGCACAGAGGCCCAATATCAACTTGCCTCAGTGGGTGTGAGGCACATGATCTCCATGGAAAGCACAAGGTCTCAAGGAACAGGTTTCTCCTCCCAACACCAAAGAAGACATTTGCCCTCACAAAAACCTTTGAAGCAGCAATTCCCACAGCTCACAGCCTCCTGGGACTCCCCGAGCAAGCTCACCTGAATCTTTTTAGGTGCAGCCGGAGGACCTGAGGTAGTCTGTAGATCATTAACTGCTTTCTAGCTTCACTCAGAACAAGGGGTTTTGGATTGGATTTTCGTCGTTTGCCTAGATGGTTTGGGAAGGTATAAGACATAGATTGTCAGCAGTCTCATTCTTTCCTAGCTGTGGTAGAGACAATACTTGTCACTCCATATGCATTGTCCTTATTTCTCAATTTCAGTTTTACTTGCGGCAGCTATGTGACCCTCTGTAAGGCTGCATTTCCCAGCCTATCATGCTTACATAGCGTGGCCATATAAGTGCTGGCTAATGAGATGATAGGAATGACTAACTGGCACTCTTAGGATGGCTGATTAATGAGCACTGACTCCGTTGCAAGGTGTATCCTTTGTCCTTCCCACTGTCTGCAAATGCTGGAACTCCTCTCGGACCATGAGGTAACCGTGACGATGGAAGTCATGCACAAGAACAGTAAAGCAGAAAGATGAGCTTGGGTACCTGAGCTTGGGTCCCTGATGACCATGCAGCCATCATGCCACGCTCTGAATGTCCTTCCAACTTCTTTTGTATAAAGGAAAAATAAAATTGTATCCATTTTAAGCCACTGTTATTTGGTTTGACTGTTACAAGCAACCGAACCTAATCCTGATACACCCACTTTCTAATTTTTGCCATCACCAACTGCCAAAGTTGGTATGGGTTCAGGATGGTTCATTCCTAATATCAAGGATTTATTAATGGAATATAATGAAAGGTCACTGCAACATCAAGCAGATAGAGTAGAAGTATATATTAGAGTTTATACCTTGACGTACTTATAACTTAAAATATGATGCATTGTAATATAACTTAAATAGCATTTTTTTTCATTAGCTAGGCCTAATTCTATTTCCTGCTTACAGCCAGTTGTATGCTATTGGACAAGTTATTTAAACCTCTAAACCTCAGCTTCCTCACCAGTAAAATGGGGATAATATATATATTTCAGGCTTAGGAAGAAGATAATAGGACTCAGGATTGATAAAGGACAGAGTATTTAAACAGATTTTTTTCCACCACGATTTGCTTATAGCATATACAAATATTTAGAAAAGAAACTGCTAGTTCTACACATTTATGTTGTACCTAAAAAAGAAAAAGTTTCTTGGCTAAAAGCTGGACATGCAGGACAAGCCTGACAGTCACCCCGTCCAAAGCAGGACCAGTGCTCACACTCCAATTTTGATTCTAAAGCTCTGGAATTGTGGGGGAGAATGCATTTCTAAATTTCAGCAAACATATAATGGAAATAAAATTCTCTTAATTTCACACCCTTTTAGCTCAGTGGTGAAGTCATTTCCGAGGTTCACCATTCAGCCGGGGAGCGGACAGCCCCATAAAACCAAATGGGACTAATGAGGCACAGCAGTCCAGGGACAAGGGCCAGAAGGCAGAAGGGGACAGGAAAGCTGGTGATAGGGAACCCAAGGTTGAGTAAGGATAGTGTTGATGTGTTGTGAGGTTGTTAACCATTGTCATAGGGCAACATGTGTACTAACTATTAAATGAGAAACTATTTTGTTCTGTAAGCCTTCAACTAAAGTGAGAATAGCAGCACAACTGGAAGAGCGTAGTCGATGTCACTGAACTGTGCATGTAGAAATTTTTGACATGGTGTATCTTTGGTTATGTATATTTTCACCAAAAAAAAAAGGTCGAGAAGGGAGAGGGTTGACATGTTGTGGGGTTGTTAACCAATGTCATAAAACAATATGTATACTACTGTTTCATGAGAAACTATTTGTTCTGTAAGCCTTTGCCTGAAGTACAATTTAAAAAAAAAAAATTCTCTTAATTTCCATCAGAAGCCTTCTCTGTAACCAGTTACTGATGCCTACTCTGTTATTATATTAATTAAGTCAGTGAATGAATGGGAATATAAAATTAGTTAGTGGCCCACTGTGGTGTCTGCTGATTGCCTCTGAGCTGTTGGTATGGTCTCAGTGTCTGAAGAGCTTGGCCTCTGATTTCAACTCTTGTCTGTACCATTCATGAAAGGTAGCAAATCACAGCCAGATGACGTATCACAGAGCTTTTTGTGACAATAGGATGTGGAGCTGTTGCTTCTCACAATAGACTGCAGCAGAATGAGTGCACCATAGGAGAAGCTTTCACCAGGGCTGGCGGTCACAATATGTGGGAGCATGAACAGAAAGAGAATTCAAGAGGGGGACCTGGCCTTATTTTATATTCCTACTCACTAGCAGATTCTTGAAAATTTTTGCAGCTCTGCCTGGGAACCCTGGCAGTGACTGCCACCCTCAGCAGAGGGAGTATGTGAGCTAAGACGAAGACAATATAGAATCTGGCTTTGTTTTCTAAAATGAAATTCACAAAGAAAAGAAATTACAGTCATGCGCTGCATAACATGCGTTCAGGCAACGTTTGACTGCATATACATCCACGGTCCCTTAAGATTATAACAGAGTTCAGAAATCCTGATCGCAGAATGGGACGTAGTGGATTTAGGCATGTCGCACTCAACAATCATGACGATCCTCAAAAACAAAGAAAAAATTCTCCAAGCTGTTAGGTATAGCCTACACTGAAAGCTACAAGGCTAACAAAAATTAGAGAGGAATCTATATCAGATATGAAGAAATTTCTGATGACATGGATTGAGGACCAAACACAAAAGAGAATCCCTCTCAGCATGTTGATGATCACTGCTAAGGCATGAAGCTTGTTTGAAATGCTTAAAGAAAAAGCAGGACCAGACTACGATAATTGAGTTTAGTGCTAGCTCTGGGTAGTTCAAGCACTTCAAACAACATTTTTCGCTGCATAACATTAAAGTGGGAGGCCTGATGGCACCGTGGTTAAGAGCTACGGCTGCTAACCAAAAGGTCAGCAGTTTGAACACCAGCCACTTCTTGGAAACCCTATGGGGCAGTTCTACTCTGTCCTATAGGGTCACTATGAGTCGGAATCGACTCCTTGTTGGCAATGGTTTTTTTTTTTTTTTGATGTGAAAGTGAGTGAGAAGTCTGCAAGTGCTGACGCGAAGGCAACAGAAGAATCTGCTGAAATCTTAGGTAAACTAATTGTAGAGGGAGGTTATTTGCCCCAGCAAATTTTTATTATGGACAAAACCTTATTCTGGAAGCGATAGTATGGTGTTCATACAATGTTCAAATCACATTAACTTCCTATTTCAAAGAATGTATCATGGACATTAAGTGACTCATGACTACTGATTCAATTGAAATTGATCAGTTCTGTCACCGTTTGATTAAGCAGAGAGGTAGAAGGCTTACAGTTTTGAAACTTCACAAGCAACAAATCAAGGCATCTTGTCCCCTCACCATAGCTTTCCTTCCCTACCATTATTTGCACTTGCCTAGAGATATCGTGATAAATTAGCACATCTGGCAACCAGAAAAACAACCCTTTTTTGCAAAAATAAATAAATGTATTTCTTGCCTAATCTATCATATCTGAGAATGATGGAATTAGAGCTGTTAACATCCTTCTGCTCCTTACAAGTAAAAAGCTTTATGAATCACTATTCTAAGAACAACCAGATACTGAGCTTACAAAATAATTTAATCTACTTGCCCCTGTATCTCAATACGGAATATGACAGGTAGGTCTACACTTAACCAAGGACTGCATTTCAAATTTTTTTTTAAATGGCAAAATGATATCAAAGCATGACTTTTGATTTTTGTCCTGGTTCTTCAAAGAGCCGAACAGGTTTCCCACAACTTAACTATAGTTTTTAAAAATAGTTAAGTTGTGGGAAACCTGTTCGGCTCTTTGAAACTACGTGCAAATACGGAGCACTGGTGCTGCAGTGGTTAAGAGCTCGGCTGCTAACCAAAAGGTCAGCAGTTCGAATCCACAGCTGCTCCCTGGAAACCCTATGGGGCAGTTCTACCCTGTCCTACAGGATTGCTATGGGTCAGAATCGACTCGACGGCAACAGGTTATATGTAAATACATTAAAAAGTACTACTGTAAGATTTTTTTCCCCAAAACCTTGTAGTCCAAACTATTATATGATTGCAAATTGATTTCTAGTTTCTCTGCACAATCCATTATATTCTTAGTTTTCAAATCTTTATATGCTACAAAAAGCCACACAACCTTCCAAGTATTTGCCCTGCATTTCCTTTCCATGTTAGGTTGGCAGAAGCATTCAATGTGGCAAGACAGAAAGGGGCCCTGCATAAGATGGCCACATAACCATATGCAAAGGATTTCACTTTAAAATGAAAGCCGCAACAGAAAATACTTCCTTATGACTCTCTCTGAAATGCAAACCTTTCAGGAACATGAAGGGGGGAAAAAAAAAAAAAAACTCAAAATATCTGAAGGTGCCACTGAGCCATGCACCTTCTTCACACTTGCTTTCCTGGTCTCACTGTAACGATTTTTAGCATCACTTCTGACAGACTTTAACATCTGTCAATTCAGTACAAAGGCATTCTGATACCATAGCCCTCAAACAGGCTATGCCATCTGAATTTAGATTAAATAAGAATTGTCACACTCCACATTCATTCATTTAAGCAGGGCCCCTGTAGCACCATGATGCTAAATACTAACATTCTTAGATTTCCATTTCAGGAACCACATTTTCAAATGCCTCCCAAGTAACAACTAATGTCAATCAGGAGGGGCCAAAGGAGGCACAACCCCTAAGCTGGTTTGTTTGTTTTTAATATATAACATCCACATATTTTAGCTTGTTTTCAGTAAAATGGGAGAAAAAGACCTTCTTTAAAAGATGCCTTAGAACCACTCAATATCATCAGTGTTATTTTGACTAAAGGGGCACAAGAAGCACCTTACAGTCATGTTCCAGTTGCACCCTCACCCCCATTCTCCACACAGCACTCACTGTTACACTGGTCACAAGCGTAGATTCTCCCTTCCAGGGCCTCTGTCTCTGTGAACTTGGCCAGCATCTCAGTGAGCAGACACTCTGTCTGATTCAAAGGGACAAACCCCTTTTCTATGCAGTGGTAGCGTTCAGGGAATTCCAGGGACAGATCCCAAAAGGGCTCAATGGTATTGGATTTGTAATTGCATGCTATACATGTGACCTAGAATGAAAAGATTTATTGACAGGTGATATAACTTCCATGCTTCCCACATACATTTTTGCTCACTTTATTCAAGACATATAACTTGAGGAAAACTTGATATGTAGTTCAAAAAAAAAATTGATTGTAATGTTAACATAATAAACAGAACTAAAAGAATTACAACATATTACCTCTGGCATACATTTCTAACTATCTGATGTTAGCTGGAATTGGAAAACCACATAGCAGAGATTATTACCTACCCCCTTCTCTCTTCCTCTCCTCTCCCAGAGCATGCTCTACCATTCAGTGCTGCAGCAGTACAGACTGCACAGGATGGTGGAATCATTCAAGGAATTAGTCTGAGATGAAGAATTTGGAGGTCAGTCTGCTTCCCTCACCCACACACTCCTGCCCTGACTTTGCTGCTTCCATCCAGTCCCCCTGGCCTTTTTGCCCGTCTTTCTTGCACCACCCCTACCCTGATTACTGTGTCTGTAGAGCCTCAAAGCACTGTGTGATTAGACCTCCTCTCCCACTATAACATTCCCAGATGTATCTTTCTTCCTAAGGACCTGTAGAGGCAGAGAAAGTGCTGACAAATTTACCTCCCTTTCACGTGGTAAAAAAACAAAGGCTGAAATAAAATCTCTTCTCCCATCCCAACTCATCATTCTTTATAAAACCCTTTAAAAACCAAGACACAAAACCTCAGTATAGTACAGAGGTTTTGCCTGAACTCCTTAAATTACATCTCCTTTTTTTTACTTAAAAAATTCTCTTTCTACATATTCTCACAAGGCCTTATCTATGAATCTTCGCCTATGTCCCTAGATGGAGAAAGATCCAGGGAAGAAAGGGTAATAGCGAACAGGAGGGAGGCTTGCTTGCTCAGGCCTTTGGCATCCTCCCAGCCATCTCCCTTCCTTGTAAAGAATGTCTACGAAGACCTGGGAAGACTGCTCTTTCAAACTACTTTGGAATAGGGTTACAACCAAACTCTGTTCAGTTTCCAAAAACTGATCAAAGGGTGGCATGCCAACAATAGGTACTTAATTATAACAGTGAAAATATCATATTACCCATACCATCTTTAAAGGGTAAAGACATCCACGAAAATGAAGTGCCATGGCAAGTTAAAATAAAAATCTGGCCAGAAAGAGACAGCAGGCAAGTTCACCAACAATGCCATCACAGTGTACAGTACAATGAAAAGTACAATAGCCATCCTCAAATACGTGTAATTACAGAAATATTGGCTATCCTTATTCCAGTAATCTGGGGAGAGGCACTCACAGGAAGCCCAAGCTCTAGCATACAAGCTTCCCTGCCATTGTTATGGTAGAGTCGGGGTTAGGATGGGGCACACACCTACCTGACTGAGTAGCTGCCCATGAAATATTGTATTCACCACTTTTAAGACCTGCTTGGTGAGCTTCCTCTGGGAGAAGGGGATAAGGATCCGATGCGTGGTCCCCTCGGACTCAAGTTCCTGCTGCACTTTGTGCAGTAGCTCACAGAGAAATTCCTGCGCATCCTGCTGGTCGTAGCCACGGAAGGCAGGGATCAGGCTCCACACCGAATGAAGCATGGCGAAGGGCGAGACCAAGGCCCACTTCCCCGACCACATGACTCGGAAGAGGGTGTGCAGTTCGTGACAGAGGGAAATGTGCTTCGAGCTTGGCTCCTTGTTCTGGATGAGTTCTAGGCTCCGGCTGATGGAAGCCCCGCCGTTCAAGCAGAGGCCCTCCCGGTCACATGACTCAGCCTTGTCACTCCTGGCCGACACCTCGGTGGCCGAGCTACTGGCCGGCTTACTGGATAGCTGAGCCTTCCCATTGGTCGCTTTGGAAAACAGTTGTTCCGTTTTGGAAGGGTCAAGGTTCAAAAAACATTCTCGGAACTTCTGGAGGTGGCTGAGGACCTGGAGGATGGAGTTCATGTAGCAGGTGTTCCCCAGGTTCCGCAGGCCCGTGACACCCGGGGCCATGGCCGGCTTGCGGTGCTGCTTGAGTCTGCTGCCTGGAGCTTTCCTTGAGGTAGGGAGAGTGGTGGGCCGCCTCTCGGCCATGGCCTTGGCCACGTCGCGGGGCGGGTGCAGCAGCAGCCGCGCGCTCTTGCGCGGAGGGGTGCTGGCCAACTCTTCCAGCAGCCGCCGCTTCACCTCACGCCGCCGCTGCCGCGCCTCCTCCTTCTTGCGCTCCAGCGCCTCCTTCAGCCGCCGCTGCTCCAGCTTTGCCTGGCCCCGGGAGCTCTTCTCAAACCAGATCCGCAGCGTCTTGGCCAGCAGGCGCTGGCGCCGGTACCACAGAGCTGTCAGCATCTGCGGCTGTCCCTGAGGAGCGCGCTGCAGCTGGACCAGGTCTTCGCCCGAAGCCATGGACCGTAGCGTCCGCCCACGTTTCACCAGCTGGTCCTGCTTCTGGCCCCTGACTGCCAAGAGGGAACTTCTGAGAAGCTTCAGGTCCCCCTCCGGGTTATCATTGAGCACGTAGTCCTTGCACAGGTAACAGAACACGTAGAGATCCCGGACTTCCATGGCTAGCGGATGTCCAGTCTCTTCAAAATGTTTCAGAGCGTGATCCTCAATGTACCGGCCGCAGGCCACGTGGGAGCACTTCAGACAAGCCCACACCGACTCAGTGGTGGAGCACTCCATGCAGCACCACTTCTGAGGGTTCAAGATGGAGTGGTCTTGGGCCAGCCGCAACCGCCCTACATGTTTACATCTATCCATGTCTTATAGAAGTCTCCACTCTTTTAACCTAGCAGGATAGGGCCACAAATATGGGAAAAAAAAAAAAAAAAGAACTTTCAGCAAAATATTTCCCAAGAAAAAAGGCGTGCAACTGGCATTTTCCACTTAAGACTCATTGGTTTTCAATTCAAAATTAGTTCCTTTGAAAGGAGGCTAAAAACAAAAATAGCAAATCTGGTATAAAGACTGAGAATAACAGAAGGACGGTTAAATTCTTTAAAAAGGAAGGATCATGAAATATACGGGGGCCTTCCCCTTTGCACCAATTTGAAACTTAACATTTTCTAAACCCGTTTTAATTCTTGAATATCAGCTGATTTTTATGTGAGGCTGATTTGTGTTCCTTAGGAAATCACAATGTACCCAGCTGATTAGCAGAGGAAAGAACCTTGTATTTGGAACCATCTCTGAACTGATGATGTCCTAGAAGTGAAAGCTTCTATATCTCATTATTGATCAAGATCCTGGGGGTATGGAGAAGGGAACAGGGGAGAGGAAAGGGAAGAGAGACATAGATGGTGCTTCAAATACCAGTAGGAGTGATGAAGAGCCTCAAAAAGACAATCTTAGGTCAGTTTCACTGTATTTCAAAGCAGAGATAACCGGACAGGGTAAAGATAAGAAAGAGAAAGTCCTCTACAGAACAAAGTATTTTAAGTATTATTTTTATTGAGCCCAAAGGACCCGGCTAAGGAGGTAGACTGTGAGCCTCAATCTAAATAACATCTTTCATGTGACCTTTTGAAAAGAACATTTACATACTGTAGAAAGGGTGGGAAATTTTTCAGTCTTTTTACTGAAAGGATATATGTATGTGAAGAAACAGATAAATCTAACTCTTAGGACAAGAGGTAGAGTGGGTACTGGAAAAACAGTATTCAACCAAACTACCCAACACAAAAGAAAGTAATAAATCTTCCAAATGAAATATGTGAAAATGTTTTTTTTAAAACAGTGGTAAAATGCTAAGCATTTTTTTTTTCTCTTCTTCCTAACATTGCTTCCTCAATCAATATGGTTCATCAGAGAAATCTCATGGGCAATTTCTTCAAGGGTAAGAAGCTAGACAACTATTTTAAAAGAAAACTTTTTATTGTTTGGAATCCTAGTAGGTTTTTAAAAATATATACCAGAATTTAAAATTCCCTAAAGGCAATTCCTATTATAAAGTGAATTTCCTTCTCCTCCATTTCTCTTCCACTTTTACTTTCCATTTCTGTGAGCAAATGCAGTTTCATGATTATGGAGTCAACTAGGAAAGGTCTAAATTCAACATACTGAGTAGTTCCTTTAGTTGGTTTTTCCAGATGCCCTTTTTGGCCTAGTCTTATTGACAAAACCCACAAATAAATATACCACAGGACCAAATTAGAGATCCTCCCCATCTATTATTGCCCATTCCAGATGGCAAAGACCAGGTCCCTATGTAAGAAATCTTCACACCATACAAAGGAAAGCAACCTAGATTATCCCCAACCAAGTCAGATCATGCTTTTCTTATTTTTTAATTATTGACTTACTGCTAAGTACCCTTTTAAGTCATTTCTTTGTACGTGTTTATCCATTTCCTAACTAGATATAATCTCTTTCAGAGAGGAGATCATGTGTTATATTTTCTATTGCTTTATAATACCAAGACTTGTGGGTGCTCAGCTCTCAGTGGTCAAAAGTGTTCTCTCGGAATTATCTTCCCATACAATCTGGAACAGTACTGAAATACCATTTCTGTTTACTTTTCTTAGAATGCAGCCAAATCAAAACACATACATTAAAAAAATGACATGGTAAATAAATATTCTTTTTGCTACTTATTACCACCTTAAAAAAAAAAACAACAAACCGGTTGCCATGGAGTCAATTCTGACTCATAGCCATCCTATAGCGGTTAAGTGCTCAACTACTAACTGAAAGGTTGGTGATCTGAACCCACCCAGAGGCACCTCAGAAGACGGGCCTAGCGATCTGCTTCCAAAAAGTCACAGCTTTGAAAACGCTATGGAGTAGTTCTACTCTGCACACATGGGGTCACCATGAATCAAAATCAACTCGCCATCAACCAACAACAACTTATTACCAATTCAAAGTACCAATTAGGTACCTATCATGTCACAACCAATTACTGCGGACGCAAAACAAAGTCAGCAAAGAAGGGGAGAAAAATCAAGAGATAGGCAAATCCTAAGTTTCTCATTAATTTAGTATTTTTCAAATGCAGTCCCTGCACCACATACCAGCATCAGAATTCCCTAGATACTTGTTATAGGCGCAGATTTCCTGGTCACAACTCTAGGCCTGATGAATTAGAGTCTGGGGCAGGGCCTAAAATCTGCATTTTAAACAAGTTCTACAGATGATTCTTTTGCACATTAAAACCTTAGAAGCACTGCACTAATCCGATAAATTATACAGGGATGAAGAACATCTCATAGAAATCAAAGAAGGAATTTTAGTTCTCAAACTCTTCTCGTTAGACTAACACTGTCCAACTTTCTGCGATGATGAAAATGTTCTATATCTCCACTGTCCAAAATGGTAGTCCTAGCTACATGTGACTATTGAGTACTTGAAATGTGGCTAGCCAAGACTGAGGAACTGAACTTCTAATTTTATTTAATCGTAATTAATATAAATTGAAATAGCCACATGTGGCTAGTGGCGATGGTATTAGACAGCACAGACTTAAACATACCAGAAATACTATCAGCTTTTCTTTTTGTTTTATCTCCTTCAAAAAAATTCAGCAGTCACTAAATCATATCTGAATAGCCACTTTGTAGCTCAAAACCTGATGCCTGGCAAATCCCCATTTTAGCCAGCAGGAGCCTTGATGGGTCTTCAGAAATTTAATTGCTACAAAGATCTTATCGCATGAAATAAAGCACAATTTCAAATTCTACAAAGAGAGACTATATCTGTGAATAGGAAAACAGCAACACAACACCCAGAACACAGATGCCTTATGAAATCAACTCCTGTGCTAGAAAAAATATCCTGGAACAACTAAAAGCTAAAATAGAAAAACACTAAAAAACCATTCCACACCCTCTCCACTTAGAGCTGTCAAATGGAAAGGGCATTCTGGAAATTCTTTCTTCCGATTTCATTTTCTGATCTATAAATCTGCTGATCACGCACATCCTTTGCTGCACAGCCCTTTTCCCATTACAAATCTGTCGTGGCAACTCACTAACCTGCCATATGGCAGAGTAAATCCATTCAGGAAAACACAAGGCTACTTTGCACCTCGCTACACCAATTTAAGCTAGGCAGGCTAGCTTCTCTAGAGGAAAAACATCTGATCATGATTTGGAGATCACCTAAAAGTGGCACCAAAGGAAGAAGCCACCTTAATCAACACACAAAATAGAGACTATAGGGAACATACTCCCAAGTATACTGAGTTCAAGAAAGATAATGTGTTAACTCAGCTCTCATACATACTCTGACCACTTTATTTCAAAACAAGGCCTATCACCCGTTGGCCAAAAGAAGAATTCTTTTTTCCATTTTTTCTGACTTGTACAGCTTTTCCTTCACATTCCCAAAGATCACAATAATCCTAACATTTCTACTTAAAGCACATACCATCCAGTGTGACAGGCCAGGGTACCCAATATACAAAATAGATAAGCTTGAAGTGTGATTGGGAAAGAAAACGATGTGTCTTAACAGTTCTACACCATTAAGTAGATCAGCAACTTGAAATAAATGTCCTGCACACCCTGGACTGATCTGCATCTGGGAAAAGCAAACTTGACAAAATATTAGCTTCTGTATTTTTAATTACCATAGTTTTATTTTAAAAATCTGAACTAACTGGAGCTAAAAACCACAATCAACACTTAAAACCATTCTACTCTAATACTCACTAAATATTAAATTTAAAAAAGACAATGAAATCTTTTCAACTCTTGCCTTTTCTGACGAGAAGCTTCTAGATTTATCTTTTTTTTTAAGTCTCCATACGAGAGATGACTGAACATTACAATCATCTTTCAAAAATCTATAGCTTGAAGATACAGTTTGTCTTTTAATTGGGCTATTCCAATTTTCCTCAAATAGCAAATTTCTTAGTAGATCTTAAATGCATAATTGCATCACCAGAAATAAAACTCCTGGGGGAGAAAATCAACAAAGACAAAATAGGAGAAAAATAGAATCCACTTTAGGGAAATTTCCACTTCTCTCTCTCTCATTGTATTGATTTCTTCTCAGTTCTTAACTAAGGACTGTGGAATAATCCTGCCTGGTCTTGGTGAGACCAAGTGGCATAAATTCCAGCTTGAGAGAAAGTAGACACTATGCTAACATGCTGACAGCCTTCATTTACATAAAAGAATACTAATTACGTGGTATCATCAACATCTGCGATTCTGCTCACTGCCATATGCGACAGCCCTGGGTATTTTAACCCTTCAACTTACTAAATGTACCTAAAATTACATCTACCACAAAACCTGTAATGACTGAAGAGACACAGTGAATACATTTTTACAAATAACAAGGGTTAAAAATGAATTTTATTTCCTGCTAACATTTTCTTTCCAAGTGATATGGGAAAATATAATTTAATATCAATTTTACAATTAAGAAAAAGGTAAAAGGAAGGTAGGAATCACATTAAGATACAGTTAATAACCCAAAAGGAAGAGTGATACAGTCTAGAGTATTATGCAGGACTTTTAAAAGGCTATGTATAAGTACAATAAAAGTAGCCTTTTGAATTTTTACATTATGGCCAAAACAAAAACAAGAAGTAGGGGCAGAGACTGGTGGGGTTAGGGAAGAAACCACCCAAAAGTCCTTTGCTAAGTGGCAGTGGGAGCGACTATGGCTGAATGAGTAGAGGGTCCTCATGGGCCCTCTTTTCCTTTCATTTCCATCCTCCCTATTTGTGGGGTGGGGTGGGTGGATGAGGTCAGAGCTTGTCTCAGAGACCCCTAGAAAGTCTGAACTATCTGAGAGCCGTTCGGAAGCTCTGACTAAATATGTTCTTCAGCTTGCTGA